TATATTATATTATATTATATTATATTATATTATATTATATTATATTATATTATATTATATTATATTATACTATATTATATTATATTATTAATTTATTAATTTAAAATATAAATAAATGCCATTTATTTAAAAAAAACGAGTTAAAAATTTTCAAAATGGTAATAAACTAGACTCAAGCATTAAATTATTACAATAAAATGATTTCAGAAAGAGAGAATAAAGCAGAGGTGATAGAAGAAAGCACATATTATATAGGCGGCGCAGTAGGTAGTGCTGTCGCCTCACAGGTTGCTGGTTCGAGTCTTGGCTGGGTCAGTTGGTGTTTCTGTGTGGAGTTTGCATGTTCTCCTTGCGTTTGCGTGGGTTTCCTCCGGGTGCTCCGGTTTCCCCCACAGTCCAAAGACATGCAGGACAGGTAAATTGGGTAAGCTAAATTGTCCGTATGAATGAGTGTGAATGAGTGTGTATGGATGTTTCCCAGAGATGGGTTGCAGCTGGAAGGGCATCCGCAGCGTAAAAAAAATGCTTGATAAGTTGGCGGTTCATTCCATTGTGGCAACCCCAGATTATTGAAAGGACTAAGCCAAAAAGAAAATGAATAAATTAATGAATTATATTATATTTTCTAATTATATAAATAAATGACATTCTTTTCAATTTTAGCAAGGAATAGTTAGATAAAATAAATATGTTCAAACATTAAATCTTTATATTAAAATGATTACTGAAACATCATGTGGAACTGGAAACTGTAACTAATGCAAGTGAAATGAATGCACTGCAAGATTTGGTTAGTAAAAATTCAGGTTTTTACAGATTTTACAGCATAAAAAAAAATAATAATAATGATTTCCCAGTATTAAAGTTTTAACTTTAATACTTTAAGTTTTAAAGTTTAAACTTTCTTAGCAAAATAATGTTGTGTATGCAATGTAGAAATTATTATAAAAACAGACAGTTAAATTTTTGTAATATTAAAAACACGCTGGCAAAAATCAAACTCAAAATCTAGGTTTTAAAATATTTTATAAATAAATATTTTATAAATTGTAGAGAAGTTAAAGATAGAACATGCAAACTCCTCACAGAGATGCAACCCCAATAATGTTAAAGTAAATTAGAAAATGCAAAACTTACATAAAAAGAAAAATTTACATAAAAAGAAGATACCTTATAAACAAATGCGATTTGGACTACAATTATTAATAATACATAATAATATATATATATTTTTTTTAATACAGTACAGGACCTTTGTTACTATACTTGAGTTGTCTTTGTCTTTGTCTTTTTTGGTTTGTATATTCATTAAAACCAATGAAAAAACAATAAAAAAAGATGACATTTTGGCTATCACATTGCGATTTAAAGTAAATGTTGCACGTTTATAATAATAATTAAAGAAAGAAAGAAAGAAAGAAAATACATAATAATTACATGTATTAATTTTTTTCACAACTCTCTTTCCTTTTTCCTCAAACCTTTCTTTGTTTTCTAAGTAAATACTACAGTTGGAGAGATTCATGGGGCAGGCACTGACATGTTCAGGTTAAGCATCATGACAAACTGCATGTTTTACAGGAAAAAATGAGATCCATTATTACTCTTAGATGAAACTGTAGTAGGTTTTACACCAAAACAGCATTTATTAAGTAACACAGTGATTCGTGCTTAAAAAAAAGTTCCTGCTCAGCACAGTAATGCAATAATTTTAACACTATACCACAAACTATTATGAAAGACTCTGAAATAACAAGCTAAAACAAAACACAGACCATGACAAACCTTGTGACTCAAAACTTTTATGACTTTTTGATCACGTCTAAAATGAATAAATATTTCCACATACCTTAAGATGATGTTATTGAGGTCTTGAAGAGAGTGTGGTGTTGTTTTGTATAAGATGAAACTAAGTCAAAATAGCATCAGCACAAATCTCACAGACAGAATAACACAATTAAACATAACCACTGTTCATTAGGGTATTACTGTAAATGCAGTTAAGTAGATAGAGTTTACTTAACTTCAAAACGCATCTGATTATCGTTCACCTCAGCTTCCTATTTCTCTGACATCTCTTCTTCCTCTTATCTGAAAACATTAGGAAATCTGTTGTAAAATACTTTCTTGCAATCTCTGTGACCTTCTTAAAGATGTACAGCAACAGTTCATCGACACCTACATTCTTTATACTTGTCATTTTATTTTGAAATCGGAAACATTTAACTGAACTTTAGCTTTGTTTTAAAAGGATAGTCATGGTTTACTCACCCTCATGTTGATGACTAACTTTTTGCCCCTATGGTGGAATGACTTTATTTTAACTCCTCAGCAGCAGGTAATTCACAATACCTCACACCTCAAGTGCTTTAATGATTTTAAAAAATGGTTACACGAAGAAGCTTAAAATGTAAGAGCTTTTTTTTTTCGAAGTAAAACATTACATTTTATCCTTACAGCAGAAATATAGTCCCTAAGAATACCTGTAAACAGCAACAGTATGTACAGTAAATGTGTAATGTGCCTTATTTGCTGTTATAATGCCATGAAATGTATTTTCAACACAATATATGTACACACATACACATTTTCAAGTCTCTGTTTTCATATTTTACATTAAACTACACCAGTTTTCTAGATAGCATGAGTTCACCTAGCCTTGTTAAAGTGTCAAACTCATTGTACTAAACTTTATAAAGGGAAACTTGTATATACTTGTCTTCTGCAGGCTTCTATACAAGCACAAATACAAACCAACAATTAGAGCATCCTAAAGGAGATATATCACCCTCCGAAGGGAACGGTAGAGTAAAAAAATCATGGCTGCCATATTGAAGTGCTCCATATTGAAGTATTCAAAATGAGCTATTATGAACTGATAGATACTTCAGGCCATGATCCTTTCAGCAGGGAAGTTATTTGGTGTCACACACAGCATTAAGTTCGTAAGGGCTCTTCCCAATGCCCTAAACCCTTACGAGGGATTTGCCAATGGGATAATGGCATACGGACAGGAGCACCACTGGCCGGTATGGACCCAATGAAAGCAGTTCTTGGGTGACACATATAAAAGTAAAGAGGGGGGATGTTGTGAAGAGTCGGGGGGTTTGGTCAAATGGCATGGGCCCTTAAAATCTTCCTAACTTTCCCCCCCTTCCTGTAGGGAATTTGTAAAATGAGCCTATTTCTAAAGAAAAGTGTTTAACTAGTTAAACAAAGCCTTTAGACTCTACAAACTCTAATACAAACTTCTAGACAAGTGTGCTAGAGATGTTTGGAGCTAAAATCTATGTTGGTCATATGAGAGAGATTGGCAAAAAAAAAATCATAAAGAAGAACAGTGAATTTACGCGTATGATTAATTTCAGACTGTGACATAATATATTATTAAAGTTTCTCTTTTTTTAAAGCTTCTTGTTTTGTTTTTTTTAAACAGAAATGACTTCCTCATTCCTGGCCAATTCTTCCCTCGGCCCTTCAGAGCTCCACTGTCCCCTCCTGCAGATGATGATCATTCACCGGCTGAACAATGACAATCGGGTCAACATGGCGGCGGTGATTGTGCATGGTGTGGTTTCCGCTCTGGGGATCCTGGAAAACGGGCTGGTGCTCTGGGTGTTGGGTTGGCGTCTTCAGCGCAAGACTGTTGCCTCAGTGTGGGTTCTCAATCTGGCTCTGTCTGACTTCCTAACCACACTAACCCTCCCGCTGTTCACTTATTACCTGCTAAACGAACACAGCTGGGAGTTGGGTGGGCCATTGTGTGCAGCCCAGGCATCCATTTTTTTCCTCAACATGTTTGTTTCTGCCTTTCTCCTGGCCGCTATTTCTTTGGACCGTTGCTTGTTAGTTACTAAGCCAGTGTGGACTCAAAACCAACGCACAGTGTCAATGGCGTGGAAGATCTGCGGTCTCGGATGGACGTGGGCTGCTTTTAACACGTTCCCATACTTCATGTTTCGTTCTGTTGTGGTTAAACAAGATGGACGCAAACTCTGCTACCACGATTTCGCTCTCTATTCTTCCCCGAACACTTTGAACATAGACTGTAAGGTACGTCAAACGGCGACAGCGGTGTCTAAAGTGTTACTGGCGTTTGTGGTGCCCCTAGTGGTCATCGCCGTCAGTTACGCTTCATTCGTTCTGGAGTTACGGGCTCGCAGAAAGAGGCTTGAAAGCAGGTTAAAAGTTGCGAGAAACGACAAACAGACATCCTCAAAGTTCTTCCGCGTCCTCTCTTCATCAAACGGACAAAACAGCACTCGCCTATCACAAAGTTTCACAAAAATGATCTTTTCGGTGATCGCAACGTTCGTCCTCTGCTGGGTGCCGTACCACCTCTTCTGTCTGCTGGAGGTGACGGCTCAGTACAAAACAGAGTTTGTGGATGTGGTGGAGGAGTACTTACCTTTCGTGACGACATTTTCCTTCCTGAACTCTGTGTTGAATCCAATTATCTACACGTTCAGCTGCCCGGACTTCTGCACCAGGATCCGCCAGAGTCTGGGGACTCTTTTCGAGGGGTTGGTGGAGGAAGCTGGACCTCTGTTGGTTGCTGGACGAAGGAGAAAAAGTGATCTATCATCCCCTATTTTTTTACTCCGCTCCCCCACTACTCCTAGAACCCACCTTGCCCAGCTCAAATCTCAGGGCTCCTTTGACCCCTTTGCCTTTAAAAGCCATCCTATAAATGAGGGAATGAAGGACGCCAAAATATGACTTCATAACATATCCTGGCAATCAAGGTCAAGGTCAAACTTATTGTCTCCCTTTTTGAATGATTTTTTGTTAGAAAAAAGGTCTGCTGTACATAGACACCCACAAGACAACATATATGTATTGAATATGGCCGATCAGAATCACAATTATTTAGTTTTTATTCAACAAATAATACACCATCAACTTCTCCTATCCAGAAAAGACTGGATGGTCAGTTGTAATTCGATTCCAAGGTATTTACAGGAAGGAATGCTCAGAAATGGACACACAGAGAACTCCTACAAGCTTCTTGCTTAAAGGTGCAGTAGTTGATCTTCCACAATGCTAACAGCTTAGCATAAATCTCTAAATCACAGTCCCTCTCTCTCGTGAACGCCCGGCGGTCGACGTAGATGCATACAAACGGCTGCACAGTTGTTCAAATCTGCATTTGCTGACAGATAGATTGGGCTACTTATAGGAATTATGAGAGATGACGGTCCGACTCTATTTAATTGGATGAACATTTTTTGTTTTATGCCTTACCCAAAATATAAAAATACATATAAATACTTTTAGATCATTTACTGTAATCATTACTATTAGACTGTGAAAAGACTTTCAACCAGCACAAAAAAATGCTTCTGAAGACAATCACCTACTGCACCTTTAAGTCTTATACTTTTAATGTAAACCTTTATTCTCTATTTATTAAGTCTCTTGCTCATGTATTAATATTATGGTTTTTATACTTCTGCAGTAGATGTTTAACTCTACCACAGATAAAGAAGATCATAGATGGTTTATGTTTGATGTCTCTGCAAAGCTAATTTTGTGTACTGAATGATTGTTTACATTTTATGTTAATGTGTGTGCAACATATTAACATTACAAACAGTTTTGAACATTTCAGCATCAGTTCACACCCAGAATGCCTATGCAAATCCCTACACTTTGGAACAAAGACTATAAAACGTGCCTCTGGGAACTTAACTATTCATTGGTCCACTCAGCTCCGGAGGGTGGGCACAATACCACCCTTATAAAACTGGTAGCCTAAGGCCACCGCCCAGACCAGAATCCAGAAGAGAACTGACACAGACCCCAGGAGAGAGAGAGTTGTTCTGTTTCAGCTCAGGACAGCTTCTCAGCACAGCTCAGACATTCTCATCTACGATATCTTTCTTTCTCTCTTTTCCTTCGAGAGTCTGCTTAAGTTTAGTACGCCGCGAGACCTCAAAAACTTGAAATGACAGACTCCACCACACACCAAGCCTAGCGAGGACAAAGAGCTGACACGCTAACTACGTGGGAATATCAGCTAAATAGAGGAAGATCTTCACATCACACAAGGAACGCAAGTAACGCCTCCAGATTATCACTGAACTGGTGTCAATTCGATGTAACCTAAAAGAAACCACTGAAGGGTTAAATAGATTTTTTTTGGTTCGCTTGGTTTGGTCTTACAAAATTGGACTTTTTTCCATCATTAAACTCTCTCAAACTCTTATTTTTTTTCTCTACACTTGTATAAATGTGTGTTTGTGTTAGTTGTTTCTGTTAGATTAGTCAATTTTGTGTAAAGAAAGGTGTCTGTGTGTGTTTATAAATCTAATGCCTTAAACATTGATCTTGTAACCCTGCTTAAACATAAATGGGTTTTCATTTTTAATAGTAATAGCCATAATTGAAGTCAACTGTCAGTTCGAATGATCACTGGATGATTCGTTTGTTTGGATTTAAAGAGTCGATTCTTTTGAAGCCCCATTCAAATGAATCTCCAATTCCCTTTGAGCTAATTCACTTAATATAACATACAAATTAAAAATCCTAAAATAATTCCTAATATAAATACAGTTCCATTAAAACCATAATATAAAAAATACAATGTGTACAGTGTTATGCCAGCTAATAAAGTTATTATTTTAACCATCTTACCTTGATGGCTCATTAATCAATTTAACTGAAAAAGGAACCAAATAATATTCATATCTATTATACCTGCATAATGGGACCCATTTTTGGTATTGCCAACGCAATCTCATGCCAATTCATAACTTTTTCATTTAGTAGCGAATTCCTATGAATTCGTAAAATATTGTATGATTTGCTCATCCCCCAATGATGGTTGGGTTTGAGGGCGGGGTTGAGTTTTAAGTGAAGCTTATTCATTAACTAATTTGAGAGGATCAATGGCTTATGATTGACCACATCTGGTCCTGCAATCGCAATGCAGAATTCCCCAATCGGATGATTCCTCACTCACTATAAATAATTAGTTTCTTACCTTAGTTATCTTTGTCTTAAAGAATCACCCCTTCCACCTCTACTCCTTTATCCTTTTGTCACAGCGGCTCAGTGGTTGGCACTGTTGCCCATTCCTTATTGCCATTAGCCATATAATAAGTGAGGGAGGGAGTTCTCGAGACATTCCTGAGCTCAAACTAACCTCTCTCCTTAAAAATTGGAGCCCCTGGCTTAAAGATTTTATGAGCTCAGGGCTCTCTCCCGGGACAGCATGCCAAACATGCTTCATTATCAATCATCAGCTGAAGTGTGAACTCTTGAAAATCTTACGTTTTTGTACGACTGAACTCATACAAATCAGCCACCAAACTGAGAAATTATAAAATACCTTTCCTTGTGAGATCAGGCTGGCATTGCAATGGTATTTTTGAGTGGACTGTGGTCTACCAAACAGAGGTCGCAATCATAGGCTGGCCTTATAAGCCTTTATCTTTTTCTGTGTACGTTCAATTTAAGCCACAGTCTTGCTGGATTACCTCTGAGGTTGTGATTTTCAGAATATTAAACGAGTATGTGCTTGCCACTGCCGAAAACAAATGAACTAAAAACTAAAACGTTTTGATCACAAAGCAACATGGTCCATATTTCTATCTTCGTTTTTTTACATTGCACAGATTACTGACAATACACACAAATAAATTATGCCTAATTTTAACCTATGGGCTATACACACATGTGGAAGACTGCAGATTCAGTTAAATATGAAAACAAATCTAAAAGTATGAACGTTTGCCTGAAACATTCTTAACATCATAATTTGTCCTTTAACCTGAGCTTATAACTTGAAGACTGAGCCAATCTTTTGACTGCAAAACACTACAATACTGTGAAAAAAACAGCTTTGCATTAATGTTCTACTTTACCATATTTGGACTAAATGCTCTTTTCAATAAGATTAAGTCTATGGTTACCAAGGACTGACAATCTGTAAAAAGTTTAAATGTGGTTAAAAAACTAAAATGTGGTAAATTTGTTAGCAAAAGAAATTAAACCTACTTGCATGCTTTTTTTTCCAATGGTGACTCACAGCTGATTAAGATTTTTCCTACTTTTTGGGGGGGACATGTAAGTTAAAGGGCCATGAAACCCCCTCGTTTCAGCAGGGTGTTTTCACACCTCTTCTTTGGAAAAAGTCAGAAAAGTGGGGGTGTCCAGCTCTGTTTAGGGGGGAGTGTCGGAGAAACTAAAGTGGGAGGGTGTGGGAGTGTCTATTTGGGCACGCGCCAGTTTCAGTCAAAATACACAGGAGAAAAAGATGGTGTTTAACCTACATGGACATCTGTAGTCGAATTATTTGCCAAATTATTAAATGTTGGACTTTAACTGCAGTTTGGCTCTTTCATTCAGGGAATTCATTCATGCCCCTCGCGACAAATGAGATATTTGATTCGAAGATCTGCTCTAAGCGTGTATTTTTCATGCAATGTTTGATACCGCACGGCGAATGACAGAAAAAAAACTCAGCAATTCCCGGAAACTTAGATGCACACGGCAGGTAGCGTCCGAAAGCCGCGTGTGTTATTCCGGTCACAAAATGCGGTGCTAACATGTTTGCACTCAATGCAATAGTTAACTTATTTGATACGAACAAACTGAATATACAAAGAGCACTGGTCGCTCACTTACCAAATCTGTAGAGACAGGACAATCACCAGCAACTAGAGCCGCGTCTTTATGAAGAGAAGACTACATCCGGAATCCGGATTTCAGCGTTTGCAGATGAGAACAGCTCTCAGGTAAACAATAATCCCCCTTAGACACGTAAATTATTGTTGTCGAGCGTCGCGTACACTGTAATCCACACGTGATCCAGATGAGCTCTCACAGAGAGAAAATGAAAACGAAACTTAACAGCAGCAAACTGTAAAAGCAACACTTCACGCTTGTTTTGCCAACACAACGTGGCGTCTCTGTGGTGTAAAGACGGTGACACTAATGAATATTAATGAAGTTGCACAATAGAGCGCGCTGATTGGTTTGAACCAAGCCTTACTCATGCATTAATGCATCACACTGTAAGACGTAATAAGGCACACTCTGGCACAGACGTCCAGTCTGCACGCTGGAATACAACGCTATTATGTCATGACCGTGACGCAGCTTCAAAAATTCGTTTCAAACAGGAAGTACAAATTTGCTTGAAATAACGCAAAAACAACCAATTTACACTTTTTAGTGAAATATAGGTGTCCTAATAGTGTTCTTAGCAGTGTGGGACACATATATGACTGTCAACAGCTCAAAAAATGTGTTTTGGTGTTTCGTGACCCTTTAAAACTGTTTTGTATTATGTTGTATTGTTTTTGTTATGTTTATTAGGTTGTTGAATGTACTTGTTTATTGGAGTTACTTTACATGTTCGAAATAAAGTCTCAAGCCTGTCATGACTAAAAATCTTACATTTTAAGTACAGTGAACTTGTACATTTTATGCAATGTGCTTCTGAAATTTTAGGTTTACCTCTGTGCTGAAGATAAGGGTCTGTGGTTAGGTTGACTATTGTCTGATTTCAATAAAGTTTGTGCATATTTTTTTAATACAAAAAAACAGCTGTGCAAGCCTCATTGCAGTGATAAGCTGCTTCTCAGTTCCAACGAACACAAAGAACAAATTTACAACACAATGACTTTGTGATCTTCAAGCAAATTTTGGTTTGTAAAGTCCGCCTGTGACGCATCCTCCATATCATGAAAGCATCTAAGCACTAGCAAGAACCCAAGATTGCTGAAATTGCATATTGAGAAAGGGCTCATTACAAATAATTTTAGTGTATCCTACCTACAGGTTATGCTATTCTCAACCAACAGTTCAGGTTTAATGAATGTCACAGCAAGAGATGTGCAATATTTATCATAACTGCTGTTTTAACAATACATGTAGAGGCACATTACTGAGTGTCACTTATTTCAACATAGAATCCAAAAGCATTTGAAAAAGTTGGAATGACCCTTATTTTTAGACATAGAAGCAAAAAAAAATATCTCTGGGCTAATGTATGATGTTAAGAAATATACCACAAGTGATCCTGCTTTACAATTTGACATTGACATGTTAAACACAATTTTGTCTGTTTTTGTCTGTTTCTCCAACAAAAATAGTTATTACTTTTGTGCATCTTACTGTATTCAACTGACATATTGAGATTTATTTAACCCTAAAAGTATTTCAACTCTATAAATTACAATTTGATAACAACAATGCCACTATTTTACACATTTTCCAGAGTTTTAGTTTT